TGATTTCCCTTCATTATGGGCACTCACAATGGGTTCTCCCAATCACCATCATCATTATCAGTGGTAAGAACCTCGTACTTGTTGCACAGCGGTGGTAGCTGCCAGTTTCGTTCACCGATGGTTTGGGGAGGTGGGGTAGGTAGCTGCGCATTAGAGCTTTTCCAGTGCTCTACTGCAGAGATAAACGACGTGGGACAGGTAAGTATCACCCCTTATTTTCGTTAGATGATTAAGACCACGCCTTTATCAGGAAAAATCCAGTGCGACCACACATCCACACGCGCAGTCAAGCGCCTTTTTTTGCGTCTCTGTGTGTTCTTTCAGTGTGACAATAAGCTGATCACCTACACCAATTATGGATTCACCTTACCTTATGCATCGGATACTGTGGATTTTTTCACGAATTAATCTTTGTCAAGCCTCCTCGTAACTGTGTACACCGGGTTTCCCATCGATCGTGTTACTTTTTCACCCAGAACCATTCAGACAGCGATGATTACACACAGTGGTGATTACAACAGTGGCGACGGGGATGGCTTAGGTGTTCACCAGGTACATGAAACCATCAAGCATGGTCAGGATGGATATTCTGAGTTCCTCACCAGACTGTCTGAGGTAAGAATAAAGACAGCAGGGAAAAAAGGCCTAAAAGACTAACGCACTAGTAAATTCACGAAGCACAATACACAACAGGGCAGTTGAAGGGGGCACGTATTATGTGGCCAAATGGCATACGATGATCAAACATGCAAAGAGAATGGATCAGTTGTGAAGAAACAGTCGTAGTAATCACAGCGGGATGAGGTGGAGGCTGGGGACCAAAGTACGCGCGAGGAAAAAGAGCTGAGAACTGGGAAGCTGACATTGTATACACAAGCTGCCATCTTTTACTACACGTGTAGCATAGAGCGTTTCCATCTGCTGTCAGATTCTAACCGCTACACTTCAAGAAGAAGTTACTGAGGAAGAGCCCTCTTGATGGGCCTTACTCGAATACTTTCCTGTTTGCACCGGTCAGCAAGCGCGAGGTCATCCAGCACATCCAGAAGCAAGTACTCGTTATAAACCAGCTGCAACATCCTTTCGGTGCGAAGCTGCCATGTCACCCGAAGAAAGCATGAGGACTGCGACACTGCCAGGTTGTCCAAGCCTAGACAGGAGAAGTTAAGAGACAGAGGTCGGGTTCGGACCACGGACCTTCCGGTCGGTCAATTCACGTTCTAACCAATAAGTCATCTTTCCCCCTATAAACCATGTACCAAGAGCACATCGGTCGCAGCTGCAACAGATTCGGTCCGCAGAAAACGGGAGGAACATATCCAATATTGGAGGTGATGGCACGATTGGCAGGCTACTTGAACGTGAGACTGGGTAAATACCCGATACACGAGCGCCACTGACTGCATGGTTGAGCCATGTCCGCCAGTGTCAATAAGCGTTGGTGAGTTGAGTCCTGTCCGGCCATCTCAACTCACATCTATCAAATTGCCACCATCACCCGTTTCAATCACCCAAACTGGGGGGTGTCAGAAGATTGCGTCTGCCCCACCTCCATCCACTGACCAACCTGGTAAGCAGGAATCTGTGGATGTTGAACCGGATGGGTTGCTAATGATCGTTGTGACATCGTTAGTTCGAGCGTTAGGTTTGTTGGGTCTGAAAACACCAATGCTTCTGAAATTTCAGCGAATTGAGGCGTGGCCAGCAGGTGCGAAAGTGTACAATAACCACGATACGCAGAAATGGCCACAAGTCACCGGCATCCCTTTCGTGTGTTGCGGCAAGATTCGAACGAGCACTATTCATAATCTGAATAAACGGAAAGATATGTTGCATGTCCTGGATTATCGTTAGATTATCATCCACAATACACTCCATGAGCTTGTCTCTATTTTGTTACGAACCTGGGCTAAGTGGGATACCAGTCGTAACAAGTCGAAAATAACGTTCTCAGTGTACAACAGTGGCAGCTCTTCGCGACTCTGTCAGGATTGGAAGACGAGAATTCTCCGCCTCGACCAATGTACATACATACAAGGTCGGTGGCTTCGTGCAGAGGTACAATAGCGAAAAGTGCTTGCATCTTCAACAAGCGCATGTGTTCACTCATAATGGTAACAACTTCTAGCTCCTAGACGGCAGTAAAGCATCAGTGTCAACATTGATGTTCCTGTCTTTGATGATGATGATGAGGCCGAAAGGGTCACGTGCAGTTTGTCAACTTTTGGCTTCAAAAACGACAAACAGCCAATCTGTCAGTTCATGTCGTGGCTAGAGTTCGCCGTAATGACAAACCTGACTTCAGAAGTAAGCAGAGCTCCGGTATTGAAAATCTACTTGAATTTAGGTCGGTGTATTGTCTGTTCGTGTCGAATCAAGGTGATGTGCTGTTCACCTTTCTACTTTCGTCCTTGTTCACAGAGTCGAAATCGTGCCCGTACCTTATCTGTCTATAACCAGGGCACCTGAAGCTTTGTCCGGCTTCACAATGAAAATAGTTTGAGTGCCCGTAAGGCCTACAGGTGTTGGTTGGTTAGGGTTGGTGTGCTTTACCGCCGAAATTCTAAATTTTGTCGACGCCACGTTATACGTTGACCAGAAGCAACTTGCGTGACGGGTAAGCGGTACTGGACATTGTGGCACAACAGGTCTGCTGAGCTGTCCCATCCGTAATCCTGTGAACCGGTTGAGGAGACAGTACGAAATGCTCCAATCTACCAATCGCCCTATTCTCAGTATTTTCAGATGATCGCTGTGAATCGAATGCCCATGTCAGCAAATATCAACCCCGTGAATACGTTTTTCTTGTCCACTGATAGGTACCAGGGTTTAGACACACAAAGTAAACAATAGGTCCCGGCATTGTCGTGTGAATTCAGTGTTGCTCGCCTAAAGGCAATTGACCCATTCATACAGCGTAAGGATATCAGTGCAAGCAAACAGAGAGACAGACACACAGCCCGACGCAGATGGTGACAGTGTATAATTACCTTGGACATGTGAACATAGTTGTGATGAAGTCGGCATTGTACAGCCCACCCCATAGTTGACAGACAAATGTACAAGGTTTGTTCTGCCTCAATTACAGGACGGACAACACATGACTGCTGCGGAATGTGAGGCTGTCAAGGAACACTGGTCTGAGTATGTATCGTTCAGCTGTAGCGCCCTTTCGGTGCCTAGCTGCCATGCCACTCGAAGAAAGCACGAGGGCTGGGATACTGCCAGGTTGCCTAAGCCTAGACACGAGAAGTCGAGAGGTTTGAACTACGGACCTTCCGGTCGGTAAATTGGCGCTCTAACCACTTGGGCCATCTCATATCGTGATCTACTTAGAAAGGGACCAACTAAAGCCAGTGTAGCATCTGCATTGGTGTGGGACGATCAACTGTAGTATAAACGTACATGTCACATGGCTTTAAAAGACGGCACTAAAAAACCTTCAAACGCTAGATAGGTACTCCAATGCACGCCTAATTTCACTGAAACAAATCCATACTGCCTGTGTAACGGTGATACTACTGACAGGGAGGCGTGCGAGTAGAATGTTTTCTTGTAAATTCGCTTTGCGTCTCTTGGAAAGGGAGATCTATTGCGGATTTGTGGACACACTTTGTAGCATTTGCTTGGACTTGAGCAACAGTCAATGAATATCCAGGAAAGTCCAGGAAGACGCGTTCTAGAGAAGATGGATGTTCAGTTTTTGTGAACAAGATGCATATGAGAGCTTTGCCTCCCTGTCTGTAACTGGTCAGTTGGCATTTTCTAACAAAACTCCGCAGCGAAGGCCTTCTTCTTTGCAACCGTATACACCCTACCATGTGAAAACAATAAAACGAACCCATCATGGCATCGAGAAAAAAATGGCACAGAGGACCACATGAATTAGTGACTTTGAAATCGGTCGCCATACAAGAAGAGTCAGTCGGTATGAAGAAAATCCACATGGGGTGAGTGGCGATATGATAAGGATGACGAGAAAACATGATCTAATGCGACAGTCACCAAGTTACTGAAGAAAAAGTGATGCACGCTAGGTAACGAACGTAGCGTGAAGCGTAGCGCGAAAACAGAGTGGATATCAATGTTTGTACATACGTTGATGGTCAAGACCATGAGAGCATTGCGGTGGCCGGAAAATACAGTGTCAAATTATGAAATGAAATGTGAAGGCGATAAAAAACACAGAAAGTAAACTCGGTGGGTGTATTGTTGATTGTGGTGGGGAAACCAGCAAAAACGGGAAAGCGAAATGGAAGGGTATGATGAATCAATAGCGTCGAAAGCACAACCTCTGTTGTCAAAAGGCGGTGTTTTGGAGGATAGCGCACTGCCGTGGTACCCCCTAATGGAAACTGGGGTGTGTGGCAAAGAAATGCAGCCGATGGAGTAGAAAACAGAACAATTCACAACAAGAAAGAGGGGAGTAAATAGCGGTCTCATGTCCAGACGGGTTGACTGGAGTTCGTTGTGTGGGCGAGATGACGTTGTGGACCGACGACTGACATTGCTCAGGAGTAGAGAAAGCGACATGGATTTGTGATTTGATGAAGTTACTTGGGACAGGCTAGAAATCATATTCCCAGGGCGGATAAGACGACTCCCGATAGAAAACCTGGAATGAGTGGATTGCATGGGGGTGCGGACTACGAATAGCAGCACCTTTGAGACTGACTAAGCGATAAGCGAGGAGGCGCAAAAACGGATGGGCTAAATAGGCTCTGCGTAGTTGGCAGGGTACAATCCGCATCGTCCATCCTTCCGACCTTTACACCATCCTTGATCGTCTGCGTCCTCAAGCTTTTCAAACACATCACCTGCGACAAGACGGATGAACAGACATGTTAGCAACATTAATAGACGAGAGAAATGGTGGGGCCGAACATTAATGTACATAACCTGTGACAATAAAAACTCACCGGAGGCCACGAACAGTCACAAAATCTAGTGTGAGAGTATATCGGACTAGGCCTAGTTAGTCGCGTGTTAAAACCACTCTTCCCATGTTTGCATAACGAGATAATTTGGCCTGATCGATCCTTGTGTAAGAACCGTTGTGTGTGAGCACAGCCAAAGTGTCGCTCCTTGTAGCCCACTTCCAGACGTTAGATAGATTTACTGTGCGGTCCACGTGCGCAACTCACCACAAAAGAATGTATGAATCGGGAACAGTCCACAGCTCACAGTGGAATGCTGACTGTGTCGTACAAAATGGGCCACGTGACAACAAAGTCCGAAAAGCCCATCTATTTAGCCGGCCCATACACCCGGCAAGTAATCTACCTTCATTCGAACACGAAACAGTTTAACTGGACGTGGTATCTGGGACTAACAGTATTCATCTGATTGACTTGTTCTGTGGCATCCAACTGAGGCGTACGGGCGAATACTAAGGAACAGTCCCACAGGAATCCATATATGAACATGTATACGTGTGTGTGCGACTGTGTTACACCCCTCAGGTCCGTCTGTAACAGTTTCAAGCGCATGGGAACGACTTGCGCACAACCATGTCAAACAGCATGACGGAAACAACTGATTAGCACCGCTTTGTCTAGATTGGACCAACCATATGGGAAACTTTGCCGGTTCTTAAACTAAAGAAAGCTGACCAGAACTGATGTACACAATCCCCATCCACACATGCAGAGACAGTGCCTGGGAAGTTTTCACGAGGGTTTCATTTTGGCCTTGCTACAATGCGTGCACCTTCGTCTGGCGGGCACAGAAAATACGGTAGATTGACGCGGAAGGCTAACAGTAAGAGAACTGATGAGGAGGGAATCAGCAAGTTTGTGATGACTAATTTTGGTTACCCATTAGGTGGCCGTTGGTGTTGCACTACAAACCAGCTTTCGTTTCCTGCAATTTGACAAACAGTCATTAGTTCAGGTCGCGAAACTTTCGTTCGTTCCCATCTTCGTCATTGCCTCAACTACCACCACCGCTGTCACAAGAACCGGTGGTTGTCGCACAGAAAAGGGATGAAGAAAAAGCATTCTGCAGTGAATAACGTCCGGAAGTATGGATGATGTGCTGTGAAAGTTTGCGCGGGAGCTACGAGTAGTGGCATACGCTACTGATAAGACCCGCCAGTAGTACTATTCACAGTTCAAAGCGCCATCCCCACAGTTAATCGACATTTGAGCTAAGGTTGGTGAGTTGTTCGAGTGTGGCCGTTGCTCTGGTACGGATGCAGCTTCGATCCACCTCGAAATGCAATCTGTACCGACTACCACAAACTGTTACCGGAAAGTGCCTCATGACTTCAACGGACTATAGCTTCACAAACCCACTGTTCTCGAGCGTACTCCTGAGCCTTTATGGACTTCGTATGAATACTGGGCGTCAAGTAACAAACACATTCGAACCGATCGATAAACTCCAACTCCACTGTCAATTGCCTCTGTGGGATGGGAGTTTTGGCCCAAGCAGATATTACTTGCAGGCATCACCATTAGTGTACGCCATCACATCAGTAAATTTAGGGCATTTTAGATGAGACGCACGAACGAAACTTACGCCCGCCCCGAGTTCCATCACGGGCCTGCTTGAATGAAATGGGACGCGTTGTGTGGGTTTCTAACTTAGTTAAGCACATGCGTCCCAGGTCTATTGAAATGCTAAACAATAGCTGAAAGCGTCATTTGAGAGGCTCTAAGTCCCTTATTCAAAATAGGGCTTATGATGAGGTCCGGGTTTAAGGAGGCTTACACCTGTAGCAACTATCAGAATACAATTTCTCGTGGGGTGGATTTGAAACATCAAAATCCAGCTGCCGAACGTTTAGGTGTTCCAACTGGTCCACGGAGTGTCACCGTAGCTGGTGAGTACGTTACTGTAATATCCAAATTTAATACTGCACACCATGTTCAATGAGCCATACCTGTTGAGATAATTCTTGTTCACATCATGTCAGACCACTGTTTCCTTGATCAAGGACGTTTTTTGTCAGTACCGCTTGGGGTTCAAGTCATGAACTCGAGGAGTATGATGTTGATAACCATCACTCTCCCTGTTTTCAAGTTTTATCAGGCTTACAGTCAGTGGACAACGGTTCCGAACTAACCCGAAGTTTACAAGCTGTTTTCAAGCAATCACCAGGTAACTGCTGTGCAGAATGAGACACACACAGAAACAAAAATTACGACTGGCAGAAAGAAAAACCACGAAAAAAATGCACACACACTTAGCTGTCAATTCCAGCTGGTGTTTGACCTGACAATTGATTTGTTCTATCCTGACTATCGGCCAATCTGGCTGCATCGCGCTGTCTTGTCTGCATTCATTCCAGTACTAATGGCTTTCAGCTACTTCTAGTGTGCGTGCCCGTACACGTTTGGCAAATTATCGCACGACAGCTCTACTGGTGCGAAGTCATTTGTAAGCAAACACGAGCTAAGCCATTAGACACAAAAGTCAACATCTCGTATGCACACCGTTCTTAGAAACTGAACACTCTCACAGGTCCTCTTGAACTTTCCCGGATATTCATTGACTGATACACAATTGTAAACGCTGCAAAACAATTCCACAATTTCCGCGATAAACATCACTTGCGCGGGTGGAGCTTGAACACCAGACTATAGACTACTTGTATGCTTCATCAGTAGTACACGCCATTACGCTGGTACCTATTTCAAAGGTGACTTCTCTACACAAACTGATGGTGTTGCAGTTGGATTCCCGTCTGGCTATTTGCTAGCGGGCGCATTCGTGGTCATGCTACAAAGAGACGAACTGAAAAAGCCCGTTGACGAATTGGAACTCTCACCGAGTTGGAATCGAGTTATACTATGTAGCCGAGGAGAGAACTGACTACGATCAACTGCTAGGCAGTTGCGGTCACGCCCATCCTCGTAGATTTTATACCACTAAAGAAAAATGAAAAGGAGAACCCGCCTCCCTTGAAAGTACACCTTTGTTGCGTGTTACTTAGGTGAAAAAAATCGTTCAGCTGTAGCAGCCTTTCGGTGCCTAGCTGCCATGCCACACGAAGGAAGCACGAGGGCTGGGATACTGCCAGGTTGCCCAAACCTAGACAGAGGAAGTCGACAGGCAGAGGTCGGGTTCGAACCACGGACCTTCCGGTCAGTAAATTCGCGCTCTAACCACTTGGGCCATCTCGCTCTCCTTACTTACGTCAGTAGGACGTACAACACAGCGGAAGAAAACCTTGATCCGGCAAGTCACAGGATGATCGCTGTGTGAGGAGATATGACATTTCGTACTGTCAGTGAGGTTAATCTATGCTGAAAAGCCGAGAATCACTGTACAGCTCTTCCGTCGTTAGTGGAAACAGGTTGCTTCATTGAAGCAAAAACGTAGCTTCGTACAGCGCATAGCTTCGAGAGCTTGGAAGATGTGGTCACGCGATTCGATGCGAAATTACGAGATACACTTTTAGAAGAGCGACATACGGGGAGATTTTGAGACAAGAATGTTTAACGACCATCCGAAAAGTTTAGAACATTAACACCAGCAAGGAAAGACGAATTTCTTAGATTAACTTTGAGATAGAGCTCAGGATGGCTTGGCAGTTGATGCGCGAGCTTACTGACCGGAAGGTCTGTGGTTCGAATCAAACCCTGACATCTCGACTGCTCCTGTCTGGGCAGTCTGGTAGTACCTCAACCGCCGCGTATCCTTCGAGTAGCACGTCAACTATGCAATGAAAAGCTGTTACAGCTGACTCACTTTGATATAAGGAAACTGAGCTACCGAGGCACTTGTAAGGAAACTAAACAACAAGATACCCCCCCAATGGTCCTCAGCCGTTTCTCTTCAACTTTATCATCAAACTGAATGACGAACAAGGACAAACTGTCCGTGTTGACGTCACTCACAACAACGTATATTCATTCAGACGTGTCTGAGACACTACCCACATTCCTCAAGCAACCAGTGCGCTTGGTGCCCTCCGTGGAGACTGTTCCAGTCAACGACCTACGATCACTCAAAGCACTACTGACCGGTCTGTGGTTCGAATCAAACCCTGACATCTCGACTGCTCCTGTCTGGGCAGTCTGGTAGTACCTCAACCGCCGCGTATCCTTCGAGTAGCACGTCAACTATGCAATGAAAAGCTGTTACAGCTGACTCACTTTGATATAAGGAAACTGAGCTACCGAGGCACTTGTAAGGAAACTAAACAACAAGATACCCCCCCAATGGTCCTCAGCCGTTTCTCTTCAACTTTATCATCAAACTGAATGACGAACAAGGACAAACTGTCCGTGTTGACGTCACTCACAACAACGTATATTCATTCAGACGTGTCTGAGACACTACCCACATTCCTCAAGCAACCAGTGCGCTTGGTGCCCTCCGTGGAGACTGTTCCAGTCAACGACCTACGATCACTCAAAGCACTGTAAGGCCCCCCAAGGTGAATGTAGGCCAACAAACTCTTCGAAGTAGTGTACAGTGTTGCAATCCGTTCCTCGAGAGCACCGCAACTGAAGTAGTTAGAAGCAGAATGGGCGTACAACACTTGTGCATACGAATGAAACTAAATTAGCCTAGTAGGCGGGACAGAACAGAGCAATTGTCAAGTCAAACAACAGCTGGGTTTCAGAAATAAATGTGTAGATTGATTGCTGGAAACCGGTGTGACCAGGTTTTTATGCCGTGTCGAGTTTGTTTACTGTTCGATAATCAAGTGGTTGTTAAACGGTTCACCGAGCTCGGGGGTTGGCTTGCAAACGTTTCGAGAAGCAGAAATCATAGGTGCGCATCGTCGCTGCGGCGAGTGGATGCTGTTTCCAACTGTCAAGCGTGGCGAGGAGATTGACGTCCAACCAATCGACAACCTGTGTTTGATTTCTCTCACTCTCGTGAGTGTTATGGCATCGTCCCTCAGTGTTCACACGACTGTGGCAACCGGGTGATAGCTGTTTGAAAACGCTCCTTTGTCGTTCGTCTCGGTGGAAAAGTTATCTGTTGCACCGGCCGAAAGTGATGTTGTACTCCTATCTTTTGATGCGCTTATGAGACTCTTAACTATCCTATCAGCTACAATTCGAATTTGAAATGGAACGCAAATGATGCAGTTCCGAAATTGAGACGAAAGGAACTATCCAGGCGAGATGTCGAATCGAACGTGTAGATTACGGCTTCCCTGGTGAAAAAAACAACAACAGAGTTCCTCGGATAAACGAGCTGGTAGCGAGGCTCTTCAAAAGAACGTGGGACGTATTCCATCAGCCAGACCTCACACAACGACCTCCATCCAAACCGTAAAAAGAGTTCACTCTTTACAGGCACCCACATCTTGTCCTCCTTCATACTCCAACGTCCCCACACCTGACACAAGCTTTTCGCTACCTCGCATTTACTGACGCACATTCTAAACATTACTAGACCAGTTTCCAAGAAAGTGTATGGACATTCAACAGCGGTATGCACATATAAGTGGGTAGCATGTTCGTACAGGGATTTGAGACGATGTCACGCCGAAAAGCTGCTACGATCTTGTGGAGCCAGAACTACACTCTCAAACTACAGTCCTTCGAATGTAATGAAGTACACCGTGCACTTAAATCAATCAATCCAATCCAGATTACTGTCGATCTGGTTTCTGGGCCATCAAGCTGCTCTTTTCAACAGCGCGTTCGTAAATTTAGCTGCACAGTGGGAGCAGGTAAGGATGGAGCCGATTGATCAGACATACACGACAACAACAACTACAGGCTCTTCGGATGGAACAGTTGATGTCTTCGGGCACAGTTCATCCGACTTCTATAGACAAATGATCGATCTGTGTAGCGTTACAAGATGAACGCCCCCTGCTGCAGTTTTAAGGGGCAAAGCGCTGTACGTGCGGATAGTGTAGGCCCGCAGTGAAGTGGATTCGGACGACCGAATAAAGCTAGTAATGGGTCCGCTTGGGTATCACTTCTAGACCGTAATTTCAGGAGACAAATTGGTTGGTGCTAAGGTCACACCAGGCCAAACAAAGCACAAGGTTAGTTATAGGTTCAAACCTCGTTCATACAGTAAACCACCTTCAGTGAAGACCAGTGGCGAAGCGTTTTTGATGGGTAGTGTATTCCTGGTCGGAGGAGATAGAAATTAAGAGAGCATAGTTCGAATTCAGCTCCGGTTCACTAAAGTCACATGACCAGTTTTACTCATCGGCCCAATTAGCTTCTACAGACGCGTGCTTGATCACAGGTGTTACAAACAGGTCGTAATCGATAAGTAAAGACTGTCTTCCACGTGAGTCTCCCGTCAAAACCATATTGATATGCAAATGAGTGCATTTGTCGAAATCTGTCCAATTTGGGTTCAAGTAGAACATAAGGTTGATGGGAACTCGGGGACTGCTGATGAGCCCCAAGAACGGCCAAACCAGTCGTGGGCTGTCGAAGAGTTTTCAGCAAGCTTAAGAATAGTGTACTACGTCCATAACAAAGTATGGTTTAGGGGAGTGTAGTGATGCGACGGCTTACCTACGGCAATGGTGAGCTCATCGTCCTCCTGGCCGGTGTAGTTGTACAGAGCCCGAACTCGTATACCTGGGCGACCGTCATCATATGTGGCTGAGGCGTAATAATCTGCATCGGTCAAATCCTCCGCGTCTTGGGTTTCGTCGCCACTGCGACTGGCATTTTCCATATCCGCTTGATCGAAGGTTTTGACTTCCGCGGATGGAGACATGTCGTCGAACGGATTAGGTTGGCTAAGAGGATAGAGAAGGGAAGAGGCATCCAAATGAAAGGTCATGACCAACAAACCAAACTCATAAGCAAATCTATAGAAAAATATGAGGCTGATATCTTGAGGCGAGAAAGGAACATCGGTGCTGACCAAAAGTGATTGATCAGTGGGAACAAGTGGAGTGAGCGAAGGAGGGAAATGATTAATAAGAGTAGTACATTACAAAGATATAGATGTATCGCGATATCTCGAATATCCTAGAGACTGAAACATGAGGCGGCCTGGTGCAGCACATTCAGTTGCCTGAGAACATCACAAACGAGAGATTCGACTGGGTTCCAAGTGAGTCTCTCGAAAAAAACAAATTAGTTTGCAAATGAGTGTATATTCGCGAAGTTCGTGCAATTTGGTCTCAAACAGAACACAAAGTTGACGGAAACCCGGGGACTGCGCCTACCTGATGAGCCCAGAAAAGGGCGAAACCGGTCGTGGGCTGTCGACGGATGTTCAGCAACCTCATGAGTAGTACATTACAAAGAGCCTCTTCCTCTTTTATGGAGCCCAGGAAAAATCTGGTAACACATCTTACTTAGTGTGTAACGTGTTTCAAGCTATAACTGAACTACTCCAACGAAAATCATAAAAATCGTTCAGCTGTAGCACCCTTTTGGTGCCAAACTGTCACGCAACCAGAAGGAAGCACGAGAGCTGGAATACTGCCAGGTTGCCCAAGCCTAGACAGACGAAGTTGAGAGGCAGAGGTCTGGTTCGAACCACGCACCTTAGGGTCAGTGAATTCGCGCCCTAGCCACTGAACCATTTCGCCCCCACTCCGACGAATTACCGAACAGTCCTCTCCGTAGGGTGTAGTGAGCCCAATGTGAAAGCAAAAGAAATGATTATTCTAAAAGAAACTATCAGGATGAGCGCGAAAGTCAATTCGGTGAAGTCCCGCAAAGGTCGAACGCCATTCGACGAAGTGGCCATTAACGACCGTGCAACCATCAGGATTGTCACACAGTGAAGCAAAGTGCCAACATTACCCGTGAATAGTATGAGATTACTCACGAACAAAATGTTTATTGAATGACGGTTTAAGAAAGTTAGGCAATGAATAAGCAGATAGATGGGGTTGCAAAATGTGTTTCCATTCGCACACTCTGTAGGTGGTGAGACCGGCCAATGGTCGGTTAACCCATTCCCCCAGATGCCTGTGGCTAGGTTCCTTAGACTAAGCGATTACGGAAGCGTTTTGTCCCAACGGTGTTGAGCAACAACAGGTAACCTATTCTGACCGTAAATTTTCACTGCTGTTCAGTGAAATTAACCAGTCTGCTCCACAACAAAAAACCGTAATAATCTAGTCTAATTGGCGTGGTTTCTTCGTCTTTTATGCTCACTTTATATCCACTTCTTCCGTGTTTTGTCTGTTTCTATCGACACCCGATCAGCTTGGTTTGGACCAAATGTTCGGTCTGCTCGATTTGACTTGGCCCGGACTGGTGAAAATGTGCCATCTGACATTTTTGAGATTGTCCGAGACAATAGGAAGGAAGTATGTGCCAGCTGAATAAACATTGAAACTGGCTAAATACCAGCAGACTATCGGATCGCTACGGTCTACCTATTTTGACGTCACAGTCATATTCACACAAAATGTTATTTTAAAACACTACGGACCAAACATATCCACTTAGAGGCTTATACATCCATTCACGTTCAGTTCACTTTGGATTATCTTTCATGCTAATCTGATCACATGCACACCCACCACACTCCTCTCTCTCCGGAAGCATCAGAAGCTTTCAGACACAAACTTTCCACAGCTTACTGACTCCGGTTACAGATTGGTTCATACCTACCACTTGACATTTACCGAAATTAGAAGCTGAATAAAGCCCTACATGCAATCGGTTGTGATGTCGACTTTTTGGCTCACCAACCGATGATTATGTCTTGTCGAGGGATCTGCTTTCCTCAATCAGGCTGTTATTGGACTGGGACTTCCTAAGGCCGCAGTCGGTGACTTGGGTTTGCTTGCCATTGTGGGCTCTCTGTGTACTGTACTGTGGCACATGGCGTTGAATGTACATTTTTGCCATTTAATCTCATACCAGACCCAGTGTGACGGACACTTTGTGCCTGATGTTCGAGTCTTGACTGTGTTAGCGCCTACCGCGTCTTGAAGAGCATTCAACATTGCTTGTCCTTTCTTCGGTTGTTGGTCTTTAGACGCGTGTTTCCGTATCAAAATTTTTACATACCATGGGATTCATCTCATTTGACTGGAACTGTTGTTGGCATGAATTCGAATGAGACGTTTCTCTCTTTTCTCCTATATTCTCCTGTTACCCTTTCGCATCCGTCGCTTGCATTCACTTTTTATGTTTGTGACCACGCTCTTCAAAAATAGATGATAATGGACCGATTTAGGTTACTGAATTACGATAACTTTATTTTGGGGTCGAGTGGCTTAGTCTTGAGGCATATATGTGTGCGCTTGGGAGCGGAGATCCCTGGAATGAATAAACTGACATGGAGGTACTCTGAAGGGCATACAGATGCGATGGAGACCACCGACTGCACTCCAAAATGAAGGGGCTTTTAGAACCCATCAAAATAGAATATGCTTTCGCCGCCTTCCGCCAGGGAAAGCACGAACAGATAGATGTGTAAGGAGGAAAGCCATTCGCCGCGGAGTTGTTTATTATCAAACACCAACTACACAGTTACAAACTATTGGATGGACAGGTAAACATCTCATTTACACCTCTTTTTTAAAAACTGGCCATCCTTATACGTCTACTTCGTGGATATTCATTGACTATTACGCAATTGTAAACGAACGCTGCACATCAGTTCCACACGTTCAGTAATAAACCCAGCCTTCCATTAGACGTGAGGTGGAGCTACGAGAAAACCACATACTACTTGCATGCCTTATCAGTAGTACCCGTCGTTATACGGTTAGTGCAATGACCGAGGAACTTGAGCATCAGGTTAAATTTCATCGATAAAAAAAGCATGCACCCTCTGATCAGAAAGCGGGTTTTAAACTGCAATGCCTAACTGCTAGTGAAAAACGTCGTCCTTATTTGCGAACGGTGAGTACAAGCATCAAGAACGGGTGAGGTTTGCCGGCATCTTTTGGACGTCATGGACACCAAACCTTTCTCAAGGTGAATAAGACCACCAAGTATGCGGACACAACCATCAGAGGTGTTCTTCCTAATAGTCCGGAATCCAGCTAAGCACGGAGTTTAGACGTCAGAACCAGTTTACGCTACACACGGTATGGTACACATGGCCCCTGAGACTCAGCGGTAACTCCTCGAATCTCGAAGGAACGTGTGAGGATGTGAGACTTGGACTGTTTGAAAAGCGGAACTGAGACGTCTTGAGGTCTTCAACAATCGCCGTCTCAGAACCATTGCTCGTGTGAGTTAGTATCCCAGAATCCGTAACGGGCCGTTGGAAAGTAAGTGTTCGGTCGAGCAACGGGGGCTTCCATTGGAGATTGTGTTCAGCGCCGGAGATTATGTTGGTTAGGTCACACATTGAGCATGTCCAACCGTCATTTGCGATCTCCACAGTGGAGGTCGCATGATGCCCACTGCTCTTGGTTGAAGACACTGCAAGATATGGATGCCAACCGACGTAAATAACGTTCTTGTTGTCCATTTCTATCCTGATTGCCAGAATGAGTGTCTGGAGGGGTAGACGTCTCAAAATGAGTGTGGTAGGCTAGCACCAGGCCCTTTACCCGTCAACTTTTCCCTTCAAAGATAAGGTCTTCAAACAAATCGGGAGTGTAGGGCAGCGAAGCGTCAGTATTGAACACTGACTTCAAGCTGTTGATGATTATGGATATTTGTCTGGTGTGTAGTCGACAGGAATCACATCAGTGACTCCGAAGAGAAGATGAATAGGTAAATATCGTTGGATTTAATTTAGGGTACCTTCATTCAGTGGATGAAAGAACGTCCACTGAAATAGCTAGTCGATGCACGTTGCCACAGAAACGGAATCCTGGTAGAGTCCTTGAAAAACAGAGTGCCTAGACGAGATCTTCGCTACGGATGAAGAGGAAATTGGAACAAAGTATGTATACCATTGCGTCAGCCCAGTTCTGTCCTTAGATGTTACGAACGAAGGTGTTTGCACAGTGAAAAACACGTCTGGAGTTCTGAACATGTACAGTTTTCCGTGAAACGTAGCGTTACTTTCCCTAGCTTTTACATGCTTCGCAACAAATCTCTGGGATCGAAGTATACGGATCGTTCGTACACAAGTTATTTACGTTTCCGGATTGTGTACTTCGGTTTACTTACTACATTCCGTATTTAGCTTCGGTTTTTGTTAGACGCCGAGTGGTGGCATTACGTTTTTTGTCAATCTTTTCCGTCAGGGTGAGTCCAGCTGCCGTCGACAAAAAGCCATTCTGCGACCGTGTTTCACTCTGACAGACCTGTTCAAAGCACTGAGACAGAGTTGGGTTTATATTTCAGCGGCTGATCGCGCCACATTGCAAGTATTTGTCCACACACAGGTGGTAAAGTGTACGGAACAGATTTTCACACGATCTCCAGGTGCGAACAGCTGGGAAAGGTGACTGTCAATTTCCCGGACTACTGTGTGTAACTAATCCCGATGTATTAGTTCGGAAAAAACGACACCAGCCAGCGCAAGCTAACGTGTTATCGATCGATCGCTGGAAGAAAACTTCTACTGACCTTTCACCTGCAATGACCAGGGTTCTGGGCTTGGGGTACCCCTGGATCAGAACCGCAATTTAACAGTTTGACGACCGAGTTTGATTGGCTAGTAGGTGCGGCTTGAAACTCATTCCAGATCCGATCACCTGTTTTGTGAGCTACCAGTTTATCGACAAAGGGGCACCGTTGTGAATGCGACCCGAGTGCATTCAGGTGCTTTGGTAATATATTCGTAAAAGATTAAATAACAAACGTGTAGTAAGGGAAGAAGAAGATGTAGCCTGTTCGAAAACGCTCACATAGCCTCCAATAGGACCGGCAAATCTAACGTAGGAGAGCTATTCGACGTGTCACCTATGCGGCATATTTCACATCAGCCTTTCGACGCTGAATTTCGCCCTATAGCCCTAACGGTTTGGTGACCAATGCGACCAGAGCGCATTCAGGTGCTTTGGTAACGACCCGAGTGCATTCAGGTGCTTTGGTAATATATTCGTAAAAGATTAAATAACAAACGTGTAGTAAGGGAAGAAGAAGATGTAGCCTGTTCGAAAACGGGGTTCTAGATCACACTTCCATTTAACGTTTCCTGGTTGGCGAAATCTACTCCCCAAAAACAAGCGAGCATGTTCAACAATGCCTTTCTCGTTGTCGGCTGAACGTGGTGTACTGAAATTTATCACAGCATAGCATGTACAGAAGTTTTGCCCCCTGAGTTCTTTCCAATGATATTATCTAGTGTTAGCGAAAGCAAAGTCCCACTATATTGTCCCTCCTATATGGATAGGGCTGTTTGTACTCGGTAAATCCACCCCCGTAGAAGGCACACGTAGAGCTACTGAACGGAAACTTCATTGCTCGAACTCAACCGTGGTTTATCCATTGTTCCTATCCACGCATGGCCAGCCTGCTAGTATCTCAGTCCTCGTGCTCCCTTCGGGTTGTATGGGGGCTGCGTACGGGAAGTGTCACAATTGGACGACCATCACGAACACCAACCCCTTTCCACTATGCGCACCTTGTTCAGTCGTGTCACGTGGATTGATTCATCTATTTTTTCGGCATGGAAAATGGAAACTCATGTTTCCACTCTGTCTGCTCAGTTCTCGCTGTCGAGACTGTAGATTCCGATTAGACAATGAGATTAAGACCGCCCATAGCTTCAGATCAATCTACGCTTGAACCATGCTCATAGTGAATTGAGGCAGCGAACGCCCGTTCAGTACTTTGGTACGAAAACTTCCGTCACATCATTGAGCATACCACTCTCAGAAAAACTTTCGTTAGAGGTCTCCTTTGACCAGTAGGTTGCACACACGAAGTGTACACCAAACCATATGGCGACTACTCAAAGTCTTGAATTTCTAGTAAGCTCGGACAAATTTCGCTCCAGCGAAATCGATTGGAAAATTCAAAAGCAAATTACCACATGCTTATCAGGCGAAAGAAGCAGATGCGCGAACATCCAAAGGAAGAGTGGGTCAGCAGCACGTGGTTTGTGGTGGGCGGGCGCGGACAAACAGGCGAAACCGCAGAGACAAGTCACTTGAGGATAACCCGACGATCGATAGACAGACTGGAAACTTGACAACAGCAACCCACTCTTAGCGGAGTACGGAAACGAAAGCGAGTGGAGTTTGTTGGTATTCGAAGCAAACAGTGATTGTAGCGCGATAAGTGTTAGAAAAGAGACAGCTGAAGTTGGCATTCGGTCGACCTGGTTGTGAGACAAACGAATATGAAGGCGGCGACAAGTAGGTTGGAAGCGAAATTCTTCGTTGAGAACAGTACATGTGAATGCGTTCGAGTGCGAGGACGATGAAATATGGCCAACAGCGAGGAAAAATGCCACAAATTTGGACCCAAGGATACAATATTGGCTGTGAAAGTGGGTGAGATCGCCCAAGTGATTAGAGCGCAAACTTACTGGCTGGAAGATCCGTGGTTCAAACCCGACCTTTGTCTCTCGACTTCCCCCCGTCTACACTTGGACAACCGGCCCTCGTGCAACCTTCGGGTGGCGTGGCAGTTAAGCACCGAAAGGGTGCTACAGCTGAACGAACGAACAGAACGATCCGTATTCGGGGAGACCAACCCCCTAGAGAGACTACTTCTGACAAGAACTTTGAAGTGTTTTTTTTTCAAATGGTAGATTCTATGCCAGGAGAAACCACTTTCAGTCGGTCCGACTCAAGACCGGAACAGCCACGAAAACAAGAGCAGTGAACGTCTGGAGGATTCACTCTGGTCGAAGCGGACAACTGCACAGCACCCAAAGGTGTGGGAACATCCTCTAACAACTGAATTTTCGCAAGTCACGTGCGGGATGCGGTGAGGACGATCGATCCACATTAGTCGACTTCCTAGCCGAGAGCATTCAGTTCGGTGGGGGGGGGGCATCCCGCCATATGGCTAAGCTTTTGCAGTGGAGAACAGACAGCTGCATTCATCATTATCATCTTCAATTGTAAAAACTGTGTAAATGATGTACGGTGACTATAGCATCGACGGTTTCGTTTGTCGATGGTTTGGGGGGATGGACAGCTACGCCTTGCAGGAAATATCTGATGTAAGTGACGAGTGAATCCAGGAGTGACAAAGGACTTCACATTGGGGAGAGTTGTATTGTATATTCTTTAAATAAAGAAATGCGAAATATGCCTTTTTGATTGGATGGTGATTAAAACCACAGCCTTGACCCAAACAAGTTTTGTTGAATCCCGATAAAACCCTAAAGGCCTGTGCCTTCCCCACACACACCAAATGACTGATGTGTTGATTCATTGATTAATGAACTCTTTGTGTAGTGTTATTGTTACCGACTTCATGATAGGCCGAACCTTAAACCCGATCCGTTCGAGCAAGCAGCCATCTGCCTTGATTGATTAACATGCGGTCGCACAGTGACCACCAACACCTCAAGGGCCCGATGAAAAAACCCGATATCGATAATGTCAGGATCAGTTCATCAGCCTTGATAGATTCAGGACAACGTAATCTTCCACACATATTCCTAGATGTGAGACGGAGCACGATAAGATTTCAGGTGTCAGAATGTGAATGGCACTGATTTGCACACAGTTTCGCTTATTCACCGTGGCTGGTTGTTGATCAATGAATCGTATATACGGCGTTATACATGCAATCTTCTGCATGTGTTGCCAGGATTACCCTAGGAAGTAAGTCAAATATATGAGGGACGGTGATACAGAAAGAAAGCCGGTGGTATTTGCGGGAGGTTGCAAGCATCACAAGGAAGCAAGCGCAACGGAAGAAATGAGAAAAAAAAAACAGAGCAACTTACGTGGTCTTGGGTCCGTTGGTGGAGATCCCATTGTTCGCAGGCCTTACGGCAGTCTCGTTCGGAGCCGAGGTGGGAGAACTGATGACAGGATTGATGGCTGTCAAGGTCACGGAGTTGTTAGTCTCGGAAAGCTGTGACCGCTTTTTCCCACTAATGGTATTTAGTTCTGGAGAGTACTCCTGTGGGTACAACGGGTTGTGTGGAAAGGATGGTGTAGTAGATCAAAACATGTAAGGCAACATAATACACAGGATCATATAGAAAAAACAGCAACTAATAGTGGAAGACCAAGAAGACGAAACAGGAAGAGCAGCACAGTCAGTTGTGTGAAAGCGGAACTTGAAATTTATGGTGGAAAAGTGAGCCCCAACAAAACGATCGGAGGAATATACTCATTTGAGAACAAATTTGGTTTTGCGAGATACCCACCAGCTCGTTCTCACGTTTATGGAGTTTATGAGGCTTATAAACATCATAAACGAGAGATTCAAGTGGGGTCCAGGTGAGCCTTTCGAAAAACCAAATTTGTTTGAAAATTTCGTCAATTTCGTGCAATTTGGGTTCCGCTAGAACATAAGGTTGATGGAAAGTTGGGGACTGCACTTACCTTATGGGCCCCCACAAGCGCAAAACCGGTCTTGGGATGTCAAACGATTTTCAGCAACCTTATGAGTAGTGTATTACGTCTAAACATAGTAATCGTTCAGCTGTAGCACGCTCTCGGTGCCTAGCTGTCATGCCGCCCAAAGGAAGCACGAGGCCTGGGATACTGCCAGGTTGTCCAAGCCTAAACAGGGGAAGTAGAGAGGCAGGCGTCGGGTTCGAACCACGGACCTTCCGGTCAGTAAATTGACGCTTTAACCAATGAGCCAACTGCAGACAAACGGATAAATCTATCTACTGTGTCGAAGTACCAAGTATGCTGTGATCTACAAGCGAAAAACTCGTTGGGAATGAATTAATGCGATGATCCAGCGAAACGATGCTTAGCTAGTGTCCCAGCGAAAGTTAGCCTCGTCAGTATGGAAGCTGGTTCATCGCAGTCAACTTATACACGAAAAATCCCGATCCATTATTTTGTCTACGATGTCCGCTGATGGAAATAAGAAACGGCCTCAATATACGCCTGGGGAGTTAATTAGTCTCGAGAGAGGCCCACAGAAACAAAAATGTCCCCCATAATAATCGGTGTGAGATGAGGTTGTGTTCTTTCACGTTCCTGCTCGGTGAGCTTGCATCATTGAATTACGGGTTCTGAATGTACAACTGATTTCATCCTAGAAGCCTCCAATCAGCTCTTTGTCAAATCCGATATTACGCAAGGTACAGCTGGCTACACTATCCAAGCCAAGGTCACCACAATATACATTGGTATATTGCCATCCTAAGGTGTGAGGTGGACCCGTCGAATTCGGTTATACTGTTGAATGACCAAGCGAAAGACAAGATGGTCGCGTGCGTCAGTAATACTAGCAGTGTCCGGTCGACCTCAAAAGCACTGTGAGCCAGGAGTGAGATGAGGGTGCACATTAAAACTCAGTTATTCCGAATCGACGTCCCTTTCGATAGTTGGAACCCTTGTAGGTAAAAACAGAACTCTAGGGGCTCAATCACGGGTGCCTTAGGGACACTCTCAGGGCAAGGTGGCTAGGTGCTTAGCGCGCGGATTTAGTGATCGGAATGTCCATGGTTCGAACCCAACCTCTGCCTCTGGGCTTCCCCTGTCTAGGCTTAGGCAACTTGGCCTATCCCTGGCAGTATCCCAGCCCTCGTGCTTTCTTCTAGGGACATGCCAGCTAGGCACCGAAAGGGTGTTACAGCTGAATGATTTTTTTACTCTCAAAGCAAGGAGGACAGATGAGAAACATCGATCACTGTGCTCCGGTGGTCATTCAACAATCCGTGTTCAGTCAAGTCCCATTACGCCAAAACAGTCATATGACCATTTAAACGCTAGCATTACCAATCTGCCCCGATCTGTGAGTGGGACGCTTGAGCCTACTATCGGTTCATGGTGCATGTAGAAGAACTGGGTATCCTTTAGTACTGAGGGCAGGTTCCGAACCGCTGCAATCCGTGTCATTGTAGCTGAATCAATTTACCGCAAGAAATATGTGCGACATACTGTCTCACCGTAGAATAGCAGGGGCAGACGGGTGTCGGAAGTAACATTCACGAAACTAGCTGGTCCATCGATAAGATTCAGTTGTGTACTTCATTAAGTGAAAACATGTAACCCAGAGATTGGGCAGCATGAGTCCTCACACTCCCTGTGGGGCAGAGTGGAAAACGGATGTCCATTTACGTGCCATCCACCCCCCGGGAACATCGCATATGACGCCACTAGACTGAATAACATGTGTACAAACGGGTTTACCCACAACCGAATTGAAGCACGTACGAAGTTTGGCGTCCAGTAAAAAGTAAAATCGATCGACTGTCAAACAGCGCCGTTAAACCAGACAAGACATAGAAGTCAGATTGTTGCTGGTTGATGAGTCAAACAGAACAAGCAACCACGTTGACAACATCAATATCCAACACTATCAAACAAGCAGGTAGTTTGTGAGAGCATCCGTGTCTAATTTAAGCCAAATAGTTTGAATGCAGTGTATCATATTATTTAGTGTAGTGCCTGCATTGGGAGCAGAACGAATACTGTTCTATTTTTCAGCAAGCTCGGGCAACCTACAGAAGGAGCGAAATCTGGTGAGTCTCCCAAAAGAACCAAATTCGTAAGCAAATGAGTGTATTTGTCGAATTTCGTGCAATTTGGGTTCAAGCAGGTTGTCGGAGACATGAGGACTGTGCGTACCTGACCAGCTCCAATAAGGATGAAACTGGTGGTGGGCTCTCAAGGAGTTTTCACTTCCATCCACATTTTCGTCAACAATCAGTACATCATCGTACATTGTCCACATGCGAACTAGAGACAACAATCGGCAAAGTCTTCATGTATCTGCATGCCTTGAATGGGCGGCTCATTCTAGTCAGCATCGCCCATCAACAGGGAACGACTGGTGATAAACTCGTTGACAAGCCGAGTGAACAAGCTTTACCCACACTCGGTTTCAAAACAGACTGAATTTGAGCACCCTTCTCCATCAAACTACAATCAGATTAACCGAAACCCACGAACGATCCAAGCAACTGCGCAGATTCAGCAGAGATATGCCCGAAAACATAAACACGACCTCAGATAATAAAAGATAGACGTTCAACTGTAACACCCTTTCAGTGCTTAGCTGCTATACCACCCAAAGGGAACACGAGGGCTGGGATACTGCCAGGTTGCCCAAGCCTAGACAGGCGAAGTCAAGCGGCGGAAGTTGGGTTCGAACCACGGACCTTCGGGTCGGTAAATCCACGCTCTAACCACTTGGGCCATCTCGCCCGATCTTAGCGGGGAATGCTATACGCGCAATAGAACGCCCATGTACAGTCGGATGGTCAAACGGACTGCGTCTAGGTCGTACATAAGCAAGACCGCCAGACAGTGGCGCTTAAGAATAGCAGAACAAGGAAACCACATTCTCGACCCAAAAATGCTGTTCAGGTTCACAAACTGAGAAACTCGGAACCTGCGCTCTATGCCTTGACAAAGAGCCTTAAACAAACAAGCAAAATACGCCGCGACGGTTTGCAGGACGTCGGTTTGTGGGAACATTGGCAATCAATGTGCCAACTGTAATGACGCCCAATTGGTTTGTCCGACGGGAACCACAATGTGGCTCCCTCGGGCTCAGCACAATCCACACGTTCAAACATGAATTTGGCTAAACAGACTAGCACTAAAAGAGTGAGAACCATTTAAAGGTGGAAACTATTTGACATGTGTTTGTGTGTGTGTGTGTGTGTGTCATCATCATCATCATCTGTGACTTTGTGAAAGATAACAATAACCGTGACAATAAAAATGATACGTTTTTTCCCAAATCAGCGGCTAAAACAGAAGTCGAGGCTCAATAGAAAAGGAATACTTTCGTAACCTTTGTCACCTACGTAATTTCCACTGTTTCACTCCCAGATTGCCCGAAAGGAAACACCGCAGAACTATAACGGCACTTCCTGTGCATTCGGACTGGTCTCAGAAGCGTCTGATTCGCTATCAGAAAGCAGATATAATGGTAACTCGGACAAGGGAGCATATCCGTGAAATTCGAAGTAATTCGACGATGGTACGTTACCACAAGAAAAGGACGGCTAGACAGCATCGGGTTGATACTGTGGCTACGGGCCACAGTGCAAAGGTCCCATCAAGGTGGAATTCGGAACATGTCATGCGATTTGTCGCAAAGCGATCTGGTTGGTTTCGACTTATTAGTACCGATGACATGAATCTGTTGCACAAGAACCGGCACAGAAGAATTATGCGTTTCCCCGGGGACGACCGGGCCTAATTTAAAAGATACCGATAAGCACGAGGATCTGGACACTTTTTACATTCTTTGGATATATGAGTGGCCAATGGACCTCTGCTGTTTCTGGACGTTTGATTGTTCATCTCTGCATGAGTTCAGCTCCCGTAACTGGTTCTGTCGCTATATCGGATTTCGTCGTGTATCGTGCGTGTTACCGTATCCGGACCTTCCTCCTTGGGTTGACTGCGTAACAGCCTTGTGCAAGTCACAACAGCATCGCCCTGAGGAAGAACTGCCAAAAAATGTTGCTTACCAACAAACGTACTGTGAATTCAAAAGAGTTTTTGTTTCTCGGGGAAGAATTTAACGTCCCAAGAAAGTGGTGTTGACAAGTAATTATCCCAGGCAAGACTGACGTAAGAGTCCAAGGGTCTTATTTATGTGACGGTGTTTCGTACGGCAGTCACGGTCAGGCAGATGAGCAGTGTTTTGGCTCTTATATTTGCTAGTATAGAATTCACAAGAAGGGATGAAGTCAACTCGACGGGGCAAGGCCCGTCAAAAGTATTGCGATTAATGATACCTAGCTGCCTTCTAAGAACCACTCAACTCTGGCCACCCTCCCACGCAAAGCCGTTAGAATCTCCACACCCAGGGCCTGGATTGAGATTCGATCATCTAGTGAGCGATGGGGGCAATTGAAACCACAAACGAAACGATAGCACTTACCTCAAATTTCGGAAATGAAGCAGGCATATCAACGCCGTGTTTGGAGGACCATAGGTTTAGGTCGTAATCAATATCACAGAGTGAAATGGATTGTTCCAGTTCCGTATAAATTGTTTTGAAGCTAATGTTGAAAGGAATGAGGATGGAAGAGATAAGAAAAAACTAAGCTTACGCATAGCATCCGCTATGTGTTTTTCGCTATCAGGTCCGAAGTTGTGATCAAAGCAGTCATTGTGGAAGAGAACTTTAGAACTCTTCGGCATTGTGAAAAAACGATAAACAGTAGTTCAATAAGCTCTCAAGTCCATATGGTTTTTAAGACGGCTTGCCCTGGACCCTCGAGGAACAAATAAATTCGTTTTGTTGTTGAACAGACAAGTGCAGACAAATACCGATACATTGTTCGTAAGTCGATTAGACATGATATGAGCTCAGATCACTACCAAAACTCTGTGCCGAGGGACTGATCCAAGTGCATTTTCAAATTGCTGTGTTTCGTACACACCAGAGTGACGTTTGTACGCTGCAATCGATCGCACCAGTCCGGTCTTTCCGTCGTACCGGACGACTAATTGCATGTTTCAACAGTACGACCTGTGCAATGCAATGGCTGGATTTGAGAGATGAAGGCGACAGCCCCCGGTACAGTGTTAAGCCGTCCAGGGACGGAAAAGTTTACTAGCAAAATGCACACGACTTTGATAAGCAGTTGAACGCGACCTGCGTCTGGACGCAAACGTCCATCTGACATTTGTGAGGGCACAGCACCGACAGATCGTACGTGCACTTTTTGCAATGACGTAGGTGCGTAGTTGCTGGGTTGAAAAGTAATCGATTAAGGTGCAAAACTGGCATCAAAATAGGAATTGGTTCAACTGAAAATCTAGTATTCAACCCACCTCGATCGACATAGCAACCTGAATAAAAAGTACGCCACCTGGTATACGATTAAAGATCTGTTTTTAGTATGTACAAAAAATCACATCGTGATCACCCCGCAACGTGGCATACTGGTGGTTCACTACTGCGCAAACAAAGCCATACAATGATGCAGAAAGGAATGGGACAATCTAGTAAACCTGTTCCAAACACATGAGAAGGTCCTTACACCACCAGCATTCGCTCAAACGTTAGGCATAGAAAAAAAGCGTTCAGCTGTAGTACTCTTCCGGTGCCTAGCTGACATAGCACCCGAAGGAAGCACGAGGGCTGGGATACTGCCAGGTTGCCCAAGCCTAGACAGGGGAAGCGAGTGGCGGAGGTCGGATTCGAACCACGGACCTTCCGGTCAGCAAATTCGCGCTCTTACATCTTGGGCCATCTCATCCCCCTAGGCAGAGAAACTAACAGGAGGATCGCCACAGCTAGGCGTCATGTGTGCTAGCGTTGGTTCGTTCGTTGACCTGGGCGGTCAAGCTATTATATCGATCACCAATAAAGATCCGTCGTGAGTTGAAATGTCTCATCTTCAATCCTGATTGATTGGTTGTTTGTCTACGCAGTGACCTTGGGCAGCTCTTTAGCCAGTATTCTTTCTTGTGTCTCCCTCGACCACAGAGATAAACAACCAATCGTAAACTAAATCCATACCTGGCTGACACGAAAGGATATGCATGCAAATGTTGGGCGGGACCCCAGCTGCACATTGCACTGCTATGCACTACAGGGCATGGTCAACTGAACTGCTGACCCAGGCCAGAGAGCAAACCAACGATCAACTATGCAGTCTGAACCACCAACATTCTCTTCAACAGCAAATCCCTCACTGTCTCCAGCCAAGCACAAGGAGGGTGTGATACTTTGTTGGTGAAATGTGCCTTTGTTTCGTTCGTCAAAACCGACGCATGATTTTTTAAGAGTGTTGACCAAAAATAATTTTTATGGCTTCTCTGAACAATTGTAATCGATCGATTTTGTTAGGTTTCCCATCATCCAACAAGCAGGGTTTCAGTATGAATTATCTTACTACGTTAGAAATAACTTCCAGTTCCCTCGTCTCGAGATTCTCACGTCCAGACAGTAGACTAACAGAAACGGAAAGATTAGTTTTTCGTACACTACTAGTAGGTCTACGTGTCGACCAAAACCTCATTCAGTCACCGCAGTGTAAACTTCAAGGAAAAATCTGTCACTGCGTGCTACACATTCGTTTTCTGTCACCCTGTTCTTCGCGCAGTGCACGAAAACCTTCAAATCCTACACTGCTGTTACGGGATACTTTGTCTTCTCGTGACTAACGGGCGAGTGAGACGTAGAGATTAGCGACTGTATTTATTGAGGCGAAAGCAGATTCCAAATTCACAGGAAAACGCCTAGAAAGAACGAAATTCTAACGGTTTTGAGAGCAACGAAGGCTCCACAAAGAAGGTTACCGAAGTTTATTCACCATGCACCAAAGATGACGTTCGGTCGCACACGCGTGATGAGGACAGCAATGTTACGAAGTGAAAAACATTTTCCTTCTTGGAGTATGTCTGCTCTGAGCTTCGAAACAGTATGAAGCGTGGATGTCTCGGCATAAGCCCCAAGGTGCTTTCAGTGGGGCTAGAGTCCGGGCGGTGGGCCAGCCAATTCAACGAAATACCGGTGATGATGGCTGAGCTGGGCGGTGGGCCGGCCAATTCAACGAAATACCGGTGATGATGGCGCCATACTAACGGAACGTTTTGTTGCTGGTCTTTCCACCGAGTTTGGCAGTTTGATTGCAGACGTTTCATCACCAATCGAAGTGACATCGTCAGTGCGGGACAGAGTGGGCGAGTTCCTCCTCTTCCGCTTGTGTTTATAAAGTTTCTAAGCATTATTTAAGACTTGAAGTGGTTGGTTGGCCCGGCATTGGCCTTCACGTAATTTGGTTGGTTATCTGGAAATCTGCGTCGTGATCTCATTCCATTCTATCTGGTCGGTGGCGTTGGGTGTCTTCATTCGACCGTTCTGCTACTCCCTTGCGATTGAGCCGTTTTCTTCACGTTTCGTAGTCTGCTATTTTTTCATTTGATTGGCTGGTTAACTAGCCTTCTGTTTGGTGGATTTCTTCCTTTGATCCGACTGGTCAGTTGGTTGTCGTCAGGTTGTTTGACTTCCCACATGGTTCAGAGTCGAAACATACCAACCAACTGTCAAGTGGGAATCACACGCCTCAGCTGAATTAATCGCCAAAAACGTGCGTATATGCTGTTGACCGTCAGTAAGTAGACGCAGAAACGGGTTGCAGTTGAAAGAATTTTCAGATGAAAGGGTTCGAAGCAAAGCAAAGTATGTCCAACACATGCGTCGATCGACCGTTCCAGGAGTAGTAACTGAAATCTTCGATTTGAAGTTACCACAGCAGGTCACCCAACGGATGCGGTACAGAGCCAGACATATCCAGCTGCGTTTCCCGGGCGTGAGAACTGCATTCGTTGATCTTCCCAGGAATGATACCAACTGAAACCGGACAACTAAATACAACTCCCCTGTTGAGTTATGCCGATGATTGTTGAGTGCCTTTAATATGGCCTTACCAATGTCTAACGCTGCAAGAGTGTCGTCCGTGAATGATCGTTCATTAAACCACGTGTAGACCTCGACTTACTATGACATCCTCATTGACACACTTCAGCAGTGCTCCGAGTGCTCACACAATGGGTGGAGTTATGCGAATTTCACACTTGATACCGCTGGTAGCTGTGGTTCCCTCTACATCGGGCGAGATGGCCCGAGTGGTAAGAGCGCGAATTCACTGACCGGAAGGTCCGTTGTTCGAACCCAACCCCTACCTCTCGACTTCCCCTGTCTAGGCTTCGACAACCTGACAGTATCCCAGCCCTCGTGCCTCCTTCGAGTGGCATGGCAGCTAGGCACCGAAAGAGTGCTACAGCTGAACGCTCTCTCTCACTCCTTCTACATTGTGCCGATTTGAGGGCTAGCTGAAGTATAATCTGGAATCATGAAGCGCAGTTAGGTGGTACAATGGGATGGCGGGCAGTGGCCCAGGTCGGAATGAGTGGTTATATGATGGAAGTAAGTCACCTCGACTTAAGCATTAGTTCATACATCATATAGTTGTCTAGATCTTCCTTGAAGTTAGAACAATTTTCAGTGCAAGGCACCAGCTCGCTTGTTCTCCGGTTGTATGGTGACAACTTGAACACTGCACGGAAATTCGTATACTTGGAAAATGGATTCAGCAATACTTGTTGATGAAATGGAATCAGAAGCCGCACGGTATTCTTTAACTTCTGACTTTAAGATGGCGGCGTGATATTATTCTTCCTCTAACAGGCGATGTATACAAACAAGGGGTTTTCTTGAAGGGGCGCTACTCGCTTCAGCCGACGACTGGTTCCAACCTTCTTGGTGCTCCCCAGGTAAGCAGGACTCCCGAGTTTCAATCAATCCTACTTTCTCATTGAACGTAAACTGGACGCAACTGAAGAGATAGACTCAGTTGCAGACCGATTTCGTTCTAGCGTGCTGGGCTACGCCAGGTGGTCCTCACAAGAAGGAACTCTTCCGCGATAGACGAATTACTCACACTTCATAGGTTACGATGGTTAGGACGTTCACCCCGCATGCCAGAAGGCCGTCTGTCCCGCAGAGTCCTTTTCGTCCAGCTCTGTGCTGAGTGGAAGCGGCCGAGAGGTGGGCAGTGAGTGATCTGGTGATAAAAAGCGTTCAGCTGTAGCACCCTTTCGGTGCCTAGCTGCCATGCCACCCGAAGGAAGCACGAGGGCTGGGATACTGCCAGGTTGCCCAAGCCTAGACAGGGGAAGTCGAGTGACGACGCATGAAAACACTAACCAGTGATAGAGACTCCAGGACCTGACTCACCAGTGGTCGGTGACACCAGCTGAAATGGCCCAAGCGCGTAGTCTGTGGCGCCTGAGCATTAGAGCTATCGCCTTCAATGCAAAGATCCCTTGTTTTTGAACTAACTAAACAAGCCACTACCTACAATGGTTGGCTGTATGAAGCACACTTTCCCCCACTATCCGGTGGTCGAAACTGTAGCAGCTAGAACCAATGTGCTATGATACAACGTTTGTAGCTCACAATAGACTCAACTGAATCTCAGCTGAATCCCTCGTTTATGATGCTCTTCAGTTGTACCAATAAACCCCAGGTTATTTTGTCACTAGCCTACGATTCGGCGTTCAAGTGCAACACAAGAGTGGCGGAAACTCAAGGGCTGCAAACTGATGAGTCCCAAGAAAGCCCAAACCGACTGTGGGCTGCTGACGAGTTATTGACGACCCTATGATTAATGCCCCTTCAAGAAAATATACTGCGATATCTCGAGTATCGTACGAACTAAAACATAAGGCGGCCTTTGCGCAGCACATGCAGTTGAAGAATACCATAAACGAGAGATGCAGTTGAGTCTCTCATTGAAACCGAAACTGGTACACAACTGAGTGTATTTGCAAGCAGAATGTGTCAGGAGTGGATGCGAGGCATCGACCGGAGAGATTTGCACAGAATGATCAGAGCTGATCATCACAAAGACAATGTGTAACAAACAGGCTCGCCTTGCTCTGTTCGAGACGGAAAGCCCATGCCGTGTCCCAAGTTTCATACACACACACACACACACACACACACACACACACACACACGAATACGAAAGTTAGCTGGTTAGGGCATGCCTGACGTATAGAATGTGTGCGTTCACTAAAGCCTACAACGTCTCCACGGTCAGTACCTGGATGCGAGCGTCCAGCACTTGTATTAAACTTGTCTTAAATGGATGAGAGTTTACCGCTACCTCGGAAACCGAGGGTCAATCCCGAGTTCCGGGACGGGGAGACTAACAGATAAGGCATGGGGACGAAGTCCGTCGTGCACATGCTGCAATCCACTGCAAATTCATTGTTTTATGGCTCTCCTGTATCTGTGGCACATCGGTATGTGCAAATGCAATAGGCTATTTGTGAAAAACTCCCAACCAGTTGGCTTTCTTTGCCATTCCGATATGCTCAAACCTGGAGAAAGCAGACTTGTCCTCTTGAATGCGATGAATCAGTGGACTTCAGTCCCAGTTTTGAGCATCATCGAACGTTACGATATCGAAACGCATGTCGTGATCAGATTTCGGAAAAATGAATATTGCTTGAATGGTCGTATTCGACCCTGAGCGATCCTTGGGTACATCTAGACAAAGCGCACACAAAGTTCTCAACGAACCAGCTGAAGTAATCGAGCAAAACAGGACGAGTTTATAAGTAGTTTGATCCGAACTCACTTTACTTTCAAGGTGACGTTCAATGCCTGCTGCATATTCATGAAAAGACATTTGAAATAAGTGAGTCGCTCACGCTCGAAGTCTTGCGTCCGATTGAATACCTAAGAGGAGAAGGGAAGATTAGAGTAGCTTGCGGTTCGCAGTAAGAAGTAAAAAGTGCAACTCAGGGGATGCGAGGCGGCGAGAAACAGCGATAACAATGGCAAACTAGGGGTGTATCCAATGCGTATCTGGATTGGCTAACGTTGTCCCCAGAATGGCACCACGCAGCAAATACGGCTGCAAAGTGACAAGTTGAGGTTCTAATTCAGTGAATCCTAGTGACAGTAGATATACTATTCTCAGAAGGAAAACCACATGTCAAATAAGGTACGGCAGTTCGAAACACTCCCCTGTACTTACTCCACTCTGTTTGAAACTAGGTGACTAAGGTCGTTCAGTGAACGGCTCAGCAGAATCTCGACGAATCAGAGGGCAGGGTTGGGTCGACATTCTGTGACCATCAATTTATGCTCCGTAATTTAGCAGACAGACACCCTTGTATTGCAGTGTTTGAATTAGCTTTTAGAGCACCAGCAACCCAGAACGTCGACCAATATGAGACCCTCATCTGGGCATCAAAAGTGAATCACCCGATGTTATTCTCCGAAGTTAATTAATATATTCAGTTACTGTGGGGTCTGAAAAACACTAAAAGGTGGTTGAGTAAATAAAACCACAAAGGGTGAGGGCGGTGTGGAGTGGCTATGTTGGTTATATTCCCATGTCTACAACACTGATAGAAACATACTGCTGAGCGACGATGATAGTCCAGGCGTGTTTAATCGATTTCAAGCCAAAAATGTGCAATTACCCATTCTGTGAAACTGTAAAAACCCATTCGCATATTGGTTGACAAAGTAGTGGAACCAGGTGTACTGCGATAGTGAATTCATTTCAGTATCACAAAGAATCACCCTGTTGGAGGGAAAATTTTAGCGGTGCCGAACTTTGTTTTGTTGCATTCTCCCTCCCTCCTGAAGAAACCAACCAGCCAGAAACACAGATGGCATATTTCTAAAGGGTTGCTGAAAACTCTTCGACAGCCCACGACCAGTTCCACCCTTATTAGGGCACACCAGGTAGGCACAGTCCCCGGGTTTCCGTCAACCTTATGTTCTAGTTGAACCCAAATTAGACATATCTCGACAAATACGCTCGTTTGCATATCAACTAGGTTTTCACGAGAGGCTCAATTGAATCTCCCGTTTATGATATTCCTAAACTGAACGTGACACACAAAGGCCGCCTCATGTTATTACTGCGCCTACCTGATGAGCTCCAAGAAGGGCGAAACTGGCCATGGGCTATTGAAGAGTTTTCAGCAACCTTGTAAGTGGTTTCCTTGTGAAAATATGCTACGATTTCTTGAACATCGTACCAACTGAAACATGAGGCGGTCTTTGTGCAACACATTCAGTTGAAAGAATATCATAACGAGAGATTCACCTGAGTCTCCCGTGAGAACCCAGGGTAAATTTCTATTTTAATTGGAATCATGTCACAATGAAAATGATCTCAGATCACTAAATCACATCCAGTGTTACGTGAAAACAGTGGTGGTATAAGAAGTTAAGACAAGCTATCCCACGAAATCAGTGGGATCTCCTTGTCTGCACCCCAACTGGACTGCCCAACCGGAACACACACCGAAACAATCTCGAATAAGCGTAGATGGTCCGCTTTACCGAAATCTATCCTGGCAGAAAAAAAAACAGCAGGAAACTGCTGTTTATGTTGCCCTCCTTATTTTGCTTGTTTCCACTGCACTTTTCTACAAGTGTTCTCTCACCTTCTTGTACAAACCGCGTGTCTGTGTGTGCTGCAACTGAGAAAACACTGAGCAAGTATCCAAATATCAACGTGGAGAAGCGAATATCGGTTACGGCTCCTGCTTCCTGGTATGGAAACCAGTTATTCACATTAATCACAGGTGCTTCATTATGTTGCCGAGGCACTGCATTCAAAGTGCACCTGTGCCAATAAACACGCACACACACACACGTACCCACTCGCGCATCAGAAGTCAGTTCAGCACCAATCAACAGTTCGCGACCGAATGACGACTAGTCAGTGTGTGTGTGTGTGTCTGTTGGCACTCAATAGCCACGAGGCATTGCACATCCAGCCAGCCAACAACATATGTATCATCAGCCGGCAGATTGGGAGCATCGATAAACGCAACGGGCGATGAGGGCAGAATAAATCCACAAATGCCGGTTGATGAGACTGTTACTGAGACCGGTGCAAACACGTGTTTGTCCAACAACGGAGGTGTGTTTTTACTAGGCCGCACAATAGGAGAAGTGGCAACTGCCTTGCCAAAGTCAAAGTGCGGTTAGTGGGAGTCGTTATGCATGGAAGTTGGCAAGAGTATATGGCCGTACATCAGCCAGTAGAATGTGCTTCGTGGTGTTGCAAAGTCAGGAAGAACTGTACAGCTGACTGCCAAAAGTTGAAAATGCCAGTATTTCGCAAATTGCTAGATTCACCTGCCAAAATGTCTATCACGGAATCAACTTCGATCGGTAACATTGGGGGCTAAGGTTATAGTGATCCTATTAGGTATGGTCTTACAGTACAGTCTAATCCAAGCTGATAACTATGCGCTAAGGGCGTGTAACGATACCAGACAATAGCACGGCCTCAGATAATGAGGCAAAAAGTATGCCCTCAAAAGCGTTACGGACACTGGGATCGTTAATTAAGGTTATAGTGATCCTATTAGGTATGGTCTTACAGTACAGTCTAATCCAAGCTGATAACTATGCGCTAAGGGCGTGTAACGATACCAGACAATAGCACGGCCTCAGATAATGAGGCAAAAAGTATGCCCTCAAAAGCGTTACGGACACTGGGATCGTTAATCAGTCACTCAGGCTATCCACAGTTCACGCTCATTGGCGACAGGGCAGCATGGATGCGAGAGATTTCTGAAGCCGACTTATCCTGTCGCTTTGCCGAAAGTGGGAGGCCATACCCGCTGCACAAAATGGACTATTTCTGACCTTCATTGCTTGCTGGTTTTACCTACATGAGCAGGTATATACTGCTGAAATGGTACATTAGAAGATAAAGCTTGTGTTTTTTCTAACTAAGCGACCGATAACGGTTAGTCAGCCGAAAAAATCAAGGAATTGATTGACTCAGAGGAATTCTCTGTCCTTATCTCCAACTCGCAGGCTTTTTCGATCAATTTACCCACCGAAAAATCACACTGATTGCAGCTGTATTGCTTTGTCCCGTGGATGTAGAAAAACTCATACCAATCGTGGCACTATTCAATTTAGTGATCAACCTTGAGTTCAAGGTCATGCCAATAAGTGTGATCAGATCATTCTGTAGCTATGAGGCCTAAATCACAATATGAAAAACAGCTGTCAGCCACACTGCACAGTGAGCCTGGGGATTGAGAATCCGTGAGCTGTAGAACTAAGCACGTGTGTCAAGCTGATTTTACAGACGGAAAAATGTTCATTTCCGCCATAACACTACTAATAGGGTTGCTCAAAACCTTATCAGCTAAGTACCGGTTCCGTCCCCCCGTTGGGGGGGGGGGCGTCAGGTAGACATAATTCCCGAAATTCCATCAAACGTATGTTCCGTCCGAATACTGAGTAGTACGTCATTGGTGAAATATGCTCATTTGCAAAGTAAGTTGGTGCTCTGCGTGTACCATACTGCAAACTATCCCCTATTGATATACGTCTGTGAGACTTGACCCCTTCGAGTTCACGAAATTCGTACACCAAAGGCATCCAAACAATACCGTCTGCGACAAATTTAAAAAAAAAAGACGGTAGTGAACGGACAATGTCCCTATCAGACAATTCTGCTACTACACTTCACACTTTTCGAAAGCGACTCAACACAGACTTTTCCAGCAAACTGGGAAAGCCCTGCTGAAACCTGATCTAAAACCGGAAAAACCTACGAATATTGTCACCACTTGTTTGTACAGGGCTGCTACTCGAGAGGTTAGACAAGGGTGAGGGTGTACACCATTAAGGCTGAAAACACCTCGGGCTTTCCTTCGTCTACACAAGTCGGTAAGGAATGGGAACTGACTAACCCAGTGTTTGAAATTGGTCGTTGAATGTCGTTTGTGAGCGAGGGAGTTGCCTTGCCCTTGTACAAGAGACAGTGGCGGCAAATTAGCTAAACTAAGTAAGTTGTTGATAGGTAATAGATAGGCTTTTGGTGGAAATTAAGCTTCCTTTCTTTTCTTCTCTTCGTCTCGCATGCAATCAGCGGACACATCGCAGAAATGACAAGCCGATTGAGTACCGGATCTCGCTCAATGCAGACTTCGCCCTCAGAAATGTGGTGACATCACCATCACCAAGGCGGGACGATGCCCAAATGCTTCACGAAGAATTTCAGTCTGGTTCACACCAGTTTTATCCGCTGGGGTTTTTCCCAGCATACGCAAACCGTATTACAGATACGATACCATTGTGTTGAAAAGATATCAACCACAAAGACATTGCCATTCTAGTGAGAATAAAAATACTTGAACGGATGGCAATAAAAGTTGCGCAGTTCGAACAGTCATCGTGCACACCGATGGAAAATATGAAATTCGAAAGTGCACGGGACGCGAAGTCGTGTTGGAAAGTAGGTCTCTCAGTACTCCTTCCTCTGTCCATCTGATGGCACACGCTATAAGCACCTGTGTAATACGGCAGCACACTACGTGTTGTGACAGTCACTNCCTCAGTACTCCTTCCTTCGTCCATCTGATGGCACACGTTATAAGCACCTGTGTAATACGGCCGCATAGTACGTGTTGTGACAGTCACTCAGTTAGTGCTAACGATGCTGCTTTTTCATGCAGCTGTTATTGAGAGAGAGGATATCATAAATATACGGTTAACCATCCCTGTTTCGATAACAGCCTTACAGACTACACGGAGGGGTGGAATACAGGGAGACCAGCAACACTCACCTTTGTCATTTCTTCCAAATACCGAGGACTTTCTGCGTCCAGATCGTTCAAAGCGTTGGTATAGTTCGAACGAGTACGCTCAACCTCCTTCTCCGCCTTCTTCAATTTGTCCTGCATCTTCTTGAGCTGTTGAGAGGAACGAGACGGACAGTCAATTCAGTGCTACGAAACGCAGCTAAGAAGACAGCCTGAGTCAATTCTTCAGGCGTCATAAGACAAAAAAAAAGGTGGATGGAGATCTCTGGCAGAAACCAGGGTAAGGCGAATAGAATCTCCCCCGGCTCACCCTTGACTTTTTCACTGCCTGTCTAAACCGACACAAACCATCCGTCTAATTTTCATTACTCAAACGATAAAAGTGTCATTAGAGAGGTATAGAAACGCATTCATTTCTACCATAAAGAACTGATGGATACAAAATCGGGACGGAACAAGCAAGCAAACGGGTTTTTATGGAGAGAGAGAGAGAGAGAGAGAGAGAGAGAGAGAGAGAGAGCACTTCTTTCAACAACGCTGTCCACGACGCATCTTGATAAGCAATGTCGTCGCTGTAAAGGATCACTTAGACACCGAACACACAGGCATTACCAACGTTTTTTGGAGGGAAACATGTTTAGCCATACCAGAAAAAATCGTTCAGCTGTAGCACTTTTTCGGTGTCTAGCTATCATGACACACGAAGGAGGCACGAGGGCTGGGATACTGTCAGGTTGTCCAAGCCTAGACAGGGGAGTGGCAGAGGTCGGGTTAGAACGACGGACCTTCTGGTCAGTAAATTCGAGCTCTAACCACTTGAGCCATCTCGCCCCCAAGCCATAACACCAGTTACTTATCCCACACCGATCCAACAAGAAAAATCACAAAGCGTTAACTTGTATCGTTCCAACTTTTTGAAAGAAGTGCAACTCGTAATTTATGATTTTCATGACTAGTCTGTATCGATTTGAGGAGAAATTTGCCCATATTCCAAACTCTCGCCTTGCTAATCCTTTCCTTTTGACTAGATGGGATCAAATAGCAGAGGGGGAACAATTTTTTCAAACAGAGCATGCAATCCTACTTTGAGCACTCATTCTGCATCAACCAAAAGTGGGCGTGCCCTATCACTATTTATCACAAATACAGCGAAATTTAACGCGAGGCACTGGTAGGTATGAACCATTTTGCCCAAATTCGAATTTGTGACAAATCGACGCGTCGAGAAAGTCAGAGGTGTGATCATTAGTTGGACCATCTGTGGCGCCAGCGGCACAAGCGCACACTAAATGATCGCAAAAAAACGCCGGCATACAAGTGAGCTGTGAACAATGTACAGTTAACGTCCACAGAGAGCGTTGGCTGAAGTTGACGAATTTATCTATAAATGGGTTTTAGTTATTGAACAGCTGGTTCCTAGCAGCCCCAACGACGGTGGGTGTTGCGCTACCGGGAGTGCTGTTCTTCACGCCAAGTTGGGAGTGGCGTAAACTACAAACTGAAGGGTATGCGGGTAAAATGGAGAGTGTAAACCCAGTTGTTAGTCCCTATTTGGCAAAGGAGCCGGATATAGACTCTTCAATGTTCGGCCAAAAACACTGCAAGATCTGGTGGCTAGATCTTATTCGTTTTTACACTCAGCCATATATGGGACGACGACGAAAGGGATGATGACGACTTGCAGCGAAGTAATGAAAGCCATTACCAGCAAACTCAGCTGCGCTGGTCACTGCCGTCTTCCTGGATGGGGATCCCGG